CCCACCTTCTTTCCCGCTCGGGGGGTTTAACGAATTTATCTCTTGCTAGCTTGGCAGGTTTGCATGCTCTGTGCTGCGTTCAGCCTGTTAAACCGTTGGTGGTGTGACGGTTTTCTTCACCAATTGAGCAAGATGCACGTGATCTTACTAATGTATGTGATCATATCCCAAATGCATATACTTTAGAATATCACTTCCACTCATCAGCAAGCCTAGCCCCACATTACCAACCAACAGTGCAGAAAGAACCAACACTCAGACATCATAATGTTTGGCTTGCTGTCATGGCGATAGCGTTTTTTACGTTTACGCTCGTTGTTCTAGTGTTCAATTTTATAATCTTCAGGTTGTTTTGGAACACCTCTTTTGTTCGGTACTTAAACACAAGGGAACGCGACCTCTTCTGAGGAACTGGAACTAGCTGGCTGCCAACAAGTTGCCAGAAGCTTGAAAGTGACGCCACTATGTTTTTGAAAAATATATGGTTTTTGCCCTTACACCTCAGTATGGGCTGTATGAGCCTGAATTTTTATTGCATCCGGATCATACGTTTTCTGGTGTGGTACGTTTATTTGTGATGTTTTCCTCTTTTTAATCCCTTTTTCTGGAAACGTACGAATGAAGTTCTACTGTACTTTTTCTCCACAGCCGGTCGCACGTGAAAGACTGATAATGGGGCTCTGTTGTTTTGCATAGCCTGACTGAGAACTGTTGTGACCTTGACTATGAAGTCTCCGATTGTGGTGTGTGCCATGAAACACGGAGTGAGTAGCTAGATGCAAACTGAAGATGCAAGTGATCAACATCACGCACACCACAACCTCCCACAATCTGAATTGGTTGTTACCACTCAGCATTTTGCATTTACATTTTGAAAGCTCAAAGTTTCAGCTTTAACTAGCAAATACTAACACCTGTGTCATTCAAGTAAATAGCATAATCCATGGCCTCCGCAAGTGCTAATTCTCCGCCAGAGCTAATCGTGGAGGCCATGGTTTTGCCTTAGGTTCTACTCTACGAAAGTAGACATGCACGTATCCCAATTTTCAGTACATACAAACGGGAAACGGCAATCAACAGAACTGCAGGAGTGTGGTTAATTGGGCTGGTTGGTGCATGATTAAGACTTGAACAAATAGGGCTGAACATAAGACGGTGAGTGAACGACAGACGAAAGGGCTGAATGAACAACCAGTGGTTTATTGTTTGGATATGCAATATATACAAAAGCAATGCTCCAAGAGAGGCTAGAATTCAAATCAGGCATGTTGGCAAAACAGGCAAAACAGACTGTTCGTTTTAGTCAAGTAACTGCTTTCATGGTAGTGTTGATAAATTGATGGAACGCCAACTCAACCATTTCAGTGTGCATGAATTTGGTAAGCTTCACTAATCTCACATGTTTTTTTGCTCTGTACGTGTCCAAAACAGTGCACAGATTAAGAATTGGTCGACAGCCACATGTTTTGCAGTGCTGGGTTAAATGAGTGGGCACAGATCCGTTGAGCAAGCACACATGCTCTCGTAGTTGGTTTTTCGAGCCTTGGCCAGTTCAGTCGATGTAGCAACGTCCACACATGAAAGTAATGTTGTATTGCAATTTTTTTTTCCTGTCTCTATAACACAGTGTACCGGTGTCACACACTGCACTTCGTTGAAAATTCCATTGGTGGGAAACGTGCACTTTTTCTGATTTCGACGTTTTGTGGCTTTTGTAGTTAACTAAGCCATGTTGTTCTAAAAGGGTCTTTTTGTCTAATTTGCGTCATTGCTGCACCATGAAGAGGTTTTGGAACTGAAAGTATTATAATGTTTACATTGTGCATTGTGAGCGGATATTACATGATAGCTGCTGCATTTGCGTAGAGTTGCACTGCTGCAAAAGCTCAGAATCGGTCGATCAATTATTTCAACTTCTGCACGATTGCGGCAGTGCCTTTTCTGGTAATCAGTGGCAGAGAAAGAAGGCAATGTGGCGACTACTGAAAGGCGCGCCTGTATCACTTATCACCGACAAAGAGCCTATGTGTGTGGCGTAGGGCCGCTGTCTAGTGCACGCTTTTAATTTGGTTTTAATAGCTGGCGACTACCTGAAAGCGCTGAGGCGCAGATCGCTGCTGCCACAATCGAGGTGCGGGACCATGTTCAGCGTGCACCACTTTGCAGAAACGAAAGCAGCTGGTTGTTTTGGAGTCGAGAATTGTGGAGTCGAGCATTGTGGATCAGGGGCAGCAAGACAGCAAGTGTAGCACGCGCTTTCATGAGGCTGCCAGGACCACTAGAGCATCGCTTGCAGAAAGCTCGCATTGTCGCTTTAACTCAACAGGCTTCTCGCCACATCTGTGCACGGTCTGAAGCGGTGTGCACGCCAAGTGGGCGAAGCGCTGCATGCAATTAGCTAGTAGATGATCGGCCGTCTGCAATCGTATCGTGTCTTAAAAAAAAACTGTTTTTGCTAAGTAGCAGATCGTGGTACAGATTTATCGCGGACAGCCGCTCATTCGTTTTCTTTCTATGCCAGTCACAGGGGAGCAACAGCTGTGGCAATTGCGCCAATTTGATACCATTCCCCATTTCTGCACAGAGCTGCGCCAAAACCATGATATTTTTTGAAATTGCACCACACTGCGCCAAAATGCTCGACCAGCCTGAAAATTTTCTTTGTTGCGCTAATTTCAGCAAGAAATGAAGGCCAGGTTGCCCACCTGCAGTTTGAGTCGTAAATAAATCCAAGCACACAGACTCTAACCCTAACCTTGCTACGCTAACCTTAATCCCATAAGGTCAGGGCTCTCGTGAGATGCGGCCGACTAGATTAAGTAACAAAGCCATGCATCGGTCCGCTGACCACAATGAATACCTATCGGTGGGACAAAGCAACTTCAAGACAAAAATGCGTTGCCGTAGCTACGAACGCTTGGCGGCAAACATGAACTTCCTAGTCAGCAAAAGCAGCTATGGCATGTTAGCAACTAGAGCTGGGCACGCATACCACGTTTTCTGCGTGTGAACAGAGTCGACGTACTGCGAATGGCAGCGTTGCCGGCGACTACGTTGGTCGCCATAACAACGGCACATAAAACATTTTTCTGTCTTAAAGTTGTGTTAGTTGCGTCGTCCCAGTGATAGATAACCGTTGCTGTCGCCAGAACAGTGGGCGTGCGCCGCTCTTACTTTATCAGGTAGAACGCACCTTGCAAGCGAGCAGAGATCTTGTGCCTTAAAACTTACCCCATCGTAAAAAAAAAAGGAAAAGAGGAGTGAGGGGCATAGCGGTGTTTGAAAATTTTTTTACTTTGTTCTAACCCGTACAGAACATGGCTTAAACCACCTTCGCTGCAATGTACCAGTGCCCTGCAGAAAAGCGTATTATGATTTGGAGGGGGCTGTTAGCACTAATCATGGGACAGCAAATTTTTTCAATTACTCATGTGTGTATACTACCGCATAGTTGTGAGCACTAGTATGATCGCTGACATGTGAAAAAGTTACTGAAGTTACTGGCAATCAGTTGGAGCAGTGTATGACACTTCTGCAGCCCTAAAAAAAAAGTAAAACCCTTACTTTTCAGTTTCACGAAACCCTTGAATTTCAAAGTCTCCTAGTTGGTAGATTTACATTTAAATTCACGGATTCTGTCAAAGGATTTGACAGATGGACCAAGTGCTATGTATACTTTATCATTGTTTGCTTAATGGGGTAGATGTAAATAGTAGTTCTATTGAAACAGCAGTGCCCATGTTTACTCCGCATGATCTAGGTGATGTTGAATGGCTTGCACATGCTTTGTTTTTCTAAGTGTAAGCCTTCTTTGCTCCAAATTCGGTCTTTCGTGATAAAAAAAATACATGTTTTATTTCCCGTAACTTGCTTCGAATTTGCATTTTAGTGCTCCAAAAGTAAGGTTCTGCAGCTCCAAAAATTACTCTATATTCTATTTGGCTTTTGCACCCCTGCAGTCGCTGCATCGGCTGCGTATCCCGAACTCCGCAGTATTTTTGAAATGCTCCTTGATGTCGCTCGCCACCATGTGTCATCGGACGGCCGTGCGGGAGTTCCAATTATTTCTGAAAATTAGCAAACAGAAATTACTTTGTAGTGAGCACTTTAGGTAATATTCACTGTGGCACAGTTTTTATTTCCTGAGCGGCGATGGCGCATGTAGAGAATTGGTATTTTGTGATTAATGCATATTATGCTTATTGCGCAGTTAGCCTGGTCTCGGTGTGTATGTACGTATTAACAATTTTTTACTGTAACAACCTTTCAATGAGTGTGTGGGGGGGGGGGGGGGGGGCAGCAACATTAGTGTTCACGAAGTTCTCCTTCAGGGATGGGTGAAGGTTCGTCGCAGTGCCCTCCTCCCAGTTATCTCAATGTAAGGGGATGACTTTGAGCCTCCCTCTCGCCCCCCCTCTAGTATGTCAATATATGAGGCCGGCTTTGTGCCGCCTCCTCCCGACCCACCCTTGTCTCCCCATGGTGTGCACACGCCTATGTGAGTGAGTCTGTGCACACACTGCTAGAACTCAATGCTGCTGTTAGCTTGTTGGTCCTTTTAGTGTTTGATGTCACCACTTCTGTATAGGATCCTAATTTTGTTTATTTTGTGTTTATTTTGTGGGCTTACTGCTTCTGTATAAATGATTATGTAAACTGAGAGAACATTAAACTAAATTAAAGCTAAATTTTCTTCTAATGTGGGTGTCATGAAAAGCCCATGGATGCTCCAAACCCAGAGGTAGCTGCTCTAAAAACAGACTTTACCTGCTCCAATGGCTGCTCCATAATGCTGGAAGGCATTCCCATCACTGAAATGCCGAATCTTTTTCAAAGGGACAAGTGTGTGGTGGAGAGTGCATACATTTACTTATAGCACTATGGATGCTGGCCTTGTGTATACAAGTCTGTTCAACAGTTTTCTGTGCATTTCTTCATTCCACACATTACCGTCTGTGGCCTTGCAATCAATGCTTCAAATGAGGCTGACTCCGTTTTAGGTGCCACCATGGGATCACAGCAGCATCAGCCTAGTGGAGGACCTGCCGGTAGCCCATATGGAGGCTATTCACCTCAGGTGGGCCCATCCCAGACCCCACCACAGCAACGACCACCTTCTCAGCCGTCCCCTGCCAGCACCCCACACCCGAGCAGCCCGTATCCAGGCCACAAGATGGCCGCCCAGAGTAGTTATCCTGCAACTCCCTATCAGGCAGCTGGATCACCTGGCTTTCCAGGGGCCCCACCTGCTGGAGCAGCAGGTGCTGCTCCTCCGGCAGCTGCTTACCCTGCTACAACCTCTGCTTCTGCTGGCTATGCACAGTACAGCCAAGGCTACCCACAAGGCTATGGTGTGGCTTATGGCTATGGGCCAAGTGGAAGTTACCCCCAAGGAGGTGCTTATCTTGGTGCATACTCTCAAGGGGGCACAGCAGCACCACTTCGTTACCCTGCAGGATACCCTGGCTACAGTCACTACCGTGCTCCTCAGCCAGCTGGTCAGCAGGCTGCTGCTTATGGCACATATGAGCAGCAAGGTTATCCTCCTGGTGCCTATTCCCAGGCTCAGTGAGATTACAAAAAGAGCCAGCATTATTTTAAAAAGTATGAAAGCCTCCCTGCTAAGTGGGTGTCATTGAGCACTGGAGCAATTGCAGTGCTTATTTTGAGTGTTGCCATGAAACTGGGCTGCCACAGACATTAAAGTCTGTGCATGTAGCTCCCAGAATGAATAATTTATCTAACTCTTGTTGAGCATCAGATTTTTTTACATAGCTCATTTCAGTTTGCTGTGTATAGTATTTTTGTTTTACCTGGCTGTCACACTGTGGCCGTCCATGCGCTCTCTCAGTCTGGGGTGTGTTATGCATATTAGACACACACAGGGCTAGAAATCGGCTAGTAAAAGTGTTTGTTCTTCAGTCTATGAAGATGGCAGCTTAGGTGTCATATGTAAGGAGGATATTTGTGCAAAATGATGATGCATGTATGGCAGTTGTGACTCTGTACAATTTTGTCAGATTGTGTATTACGTATATTGACTGGTATCCTTTTGAGCTAGGGCTCCAACGTAACTGGACGTTTTTTTTATTTTCTTTATATACACGGACTGTATTTATCACGCAGTTCAAAAAAGCGGAAATTTTATTAAGACTCATGCCGTATTTTTGGTGGGGTGTTTACAGTTCTGCGAAGTAGACATTTTGACACTATTGCTATATTATTATTGTCTGAAGCATATTGAACTTTTTTCCCTTGGCTGCATTGTTTTTTTGAGTGAAATATTGTGTATGGGTGCACCCTAGGTTTTTATTGCTTTTAGCAGTGATGAGCTCAGCATCGTAGCATATTTTATTGTGTAGTTGTGAGCATGTTTAGGACTGCCTGTGTCATGCTTTTCAGGCACCAATTCTTCTGCTGAATGTTTTTTTTTGCATTTTTTTTTCTAATGTTACAGTACGATGGTACTCGTCAGATATTTGCTATAGTAACACATTTGTTAGTATGATACAATACTCTTTGAATTATGGGCCATGATGTTTTTGTGACATTTATATTGATGCAGTTCTGAAGAACAGTTATTCATTTTTCATTGAGCTTTGCTCAATTCGAAGCTCAGTCATTGAGCTTCTAAAAAAATCCATTTAAATTTACTGTTGCAGTTAGGTAGCATGTTCGGACTCCTCTGCGAAACTGCCTGCATGTTTTGAATGATCGTTACTAGGAAAAACGAGAACATCTAGAAACTTGTTTTCTGCATTTGTGTACTAGAAACAGGAGTGCACTGCGAGGGGCCGATTTGTGCTTTTTGAAGGGAATGAGAAAGTTTGAACACAGTTGTCTCGCATTATATCCTTTCCTTTTTTGTGTTTCTCAGTTCCCTTCATGCTAGACAATATTCGTTGCGAAATTTGCCTAGAGCTGTCGATACACACTTGTGTAGCTGGACTGACAGTGAAAATGTGTTGTGATTGACAGCTGATAGCTGTTGTTGAAACCTGTGACTTGGATGCCATTGTGGGCCACTATTTTGTAGCGATGCCTTTTGAAATGCTAGTTTACTTTCACACTTTGTTAGTAGTGAGAGTGACATTTTTCCGAAGTTCTCAACGTCATTATATAGCAGTATGTAGCATGTTAGACAAGATTAGCATATAATTAGCACTTATTGCTACGAAATGGTAGCCTAAACCCATGGTATCTGTGTGTCAATGAATGAGTTTTGTATGGGAATATGGTTTAATAGGACAAAGTATAATGCAACACAATGGTATACTAGAATATATAGATCTCAAGGTCATAGACTGTAACTGTACTTCTGTTACATGAAACTAAATACAAGAAATACAGCGGGGTTAAAAAAATATTGCAGGTTTCACAAGCAAAAACTATGAGACTCATGTAAGTGTCTGAACAAGGGCAAGTACAGTTCAACTCCTTTGTAAGAGGCAATGAAAAAAAAAAAAAACACCTTGAGAGCTCCGTCCCTTTCTCTCTTTTTTTAATTTGATAAAAATTGGCAGATAATGAGATAACGAATTTTTTATAAGTGGCACTGATACAAGAGACAATCGGGCATAAGAGAGAATAGCTAAACTAGGGCTTGATCAGAAAATGGGAACCTGGTATTAAGCTGATGACACACCTGATATAAAGGACAAGAGCTGCCCCTCGGTACGTATCTCTTCTAAAAAGGTATAACTGTATTTTCTCTAATTATTGTCCCAGTTATTGACGATGATTAAAAATTCTCAATATAGTTCTGCGTATGAAACTTTGTGTGAACCAACAAACTTATGTGGGGCTTTAGCTGACTTAGCGTTGTAAAGGCCAATATACAGTATAGTTGAGGAGAAGCCTCAGCATTGAAATGCAAAGAGATGCATACCTGAAAGCCAGGTGAAAACGGACATAGTTGGGCACTAGAGGACGGCATGGTTTAGTAAAGACACTAAGCATTGCCAAGCATCGTCTCTCCACTCCCTTTTTTTTTTGCTAGCATCTGTAAAAGGCAATTCATCACTGTGTTCTATGTACTAAAGCCAAGAAACCATGTCATGCTCCCATGACTAGCCCTGTCTACTTTTTTGCTTCTATTTTTCATTCTTTTCCTATTTCACTTCTCGACTGCTCCAGTGGCAGCCTTACACTCTCTGCATTGAGTTATAGTTCAGTCGTGCCATGGCGCAACATCAGCAGCAGCATGTATTGTATATGGGTAATTGTGTCTTTTTTGACGTGGAGCTTCATTGAAAGAAAGGGTGCTAGGCCATCTTTTTGTTACGCGAACTGTTGCCGCACCATGCTTCTTTCATACTCTACAAATACAACCTGTGTCATGTAATCAACATGTCACATTTTTTTGTAATTTCCAAGTATGTCTGGGTGCCCTTCAATGTTTTGACTAGACTTTCATGTGATGTTCATGCAGTACTTTACACCACTTTTTTCTGTCTGTGAGCACTTATTTAAAACACTAAGTAGCCTTTTTGTAATGGCTGCATAGTAGTAATGCTGTGACTTCACTGTAGTAATTATGTGTTTGAGACAATATGGTATGAGTGTTTTTGTTATTGCTCACAAGTGTTCTTTACAACACTTAGCGTTGTCTTGTGCAGTCGCAGAGGTTGCAAAGTACTGAACATGTAGCTGCAAAGAGTTGCATGACTTGAGTAGGAACACAAGTAATCGTTTTGCATAAATCTTTTCATCATGTGGTTTAAGGGGAGATGCTACTCGAAGACACTTTTTTAAATATTCACCCTAGAGCTAGGAAACTTGAGCTGTTTGTGGAACTTTTTATGCTGATTTCAAATATATAATTAGTTTTCTTGCAAGTTACACACTTTTAGCTCTGCAACATGACAAAGTGAAAAATCTTAACCCTTTTACCCCCCTCTTTTCATCCCTAAACTTCTGTAATTTTTTTACTATTCATAGTTCATAATATTTCAAATAAAGTGTAGAATGCAGATAACTAATTAGGAAGCACATACAAAATATGTAATACACATGAAAAATAATAGACGTAAAAAAACTACATTTCACCTATCCTAGTAAAGGTTACATACAATTTTTTTATTATACAATAAAATATTGGAATTTAAACTAGATAATTGCATTTGTCATACTTTGGAAAAAAGTTTGAGCAAAATTTTACGCAGACCCGATCACTAGAAGTGCCCGAAAAAAGAAGGGCACATTGGAACAGTTGGCAAAATTTGCATTGTGAGAAAAACGAATTTTAAATTTAAAATTGAGTTTTTGTTTATGAAAGATATCATTAAATCTGATGAAATTTGCACACCAAACAGAACAATCCTTCTTGTAGTGGCCACTGCGACTAAAATACGCCAGAACCATGAGTTTGTCCCTCTCGTCTTTTTCGAGCCGACTCCTCACAGACATTTCGCTCACAGACAGGGCCATGAAACACTTGCCAAACTTCCGCTCCATCTGGAAGAGCCTTGTGCCAACTGCAAGCTAGGAAGAAGTTCGACAGGACTGCGAAATCCAAACTAAGTCCAGTGTCATGCCATTTTGCGGCCATGTTTGTGCCACATACCATCGTACATAATGGCAATGTCGTCCCTTCTAAGTTCTCTCACTGTGAGCTCTTTCAACCTCGCAAGATTGGCGCTGACATCATCCATTGCCGCATCACGAACTTTCCCGCTGGTAGGTGTGAGTAACTTTTGACGCATTGGCTTTTTTTTGCAAGCCAAAAAATTATAACTGCCGCAAATCAGACCAGCTGCTCGTAGCCTATTTCTACAGAGCACGCCACACAACGACTTTCACTTGCGAGCAATTCCTTTTTTCATTCATAACGGAGATAATTACATGAAAAAAGCATTGTCCAGCTGCGCTGCTCGACAAGACATGGACCCCGCAAATAGGTTTCACAGCGCATACAGGCGTGCAGCGGCCAATGGCGGTCCCTAATCCGTAACGCGTAATAAGCCAGTCGGGGCACTCGAAAAACGCGCAGAAGCGTGCTTATTTTTATTATTTTTTGTGCTGCATCAGCGAGGGAAACTGTTATTTGAAAAGTTAGGCTCGACTCTTCGACTCATGCGATCAACAATGGGAAGCGGCGGCGCATTATCGGCGGCAAGGTGCTCGAAGACTGCACTTTTTGGACCTTTTAACAGGCACCTTGTGCTCATTATATGCAATTTTAAAGCATTTCCAGTTAAGTCTCGATCTGTTTTTTTTTCCATAACAATAGAGGTACTAATCTTATCAAAACAGGCGAAAATAAAAAATCTGTAATTTTGAAAAAACTCGCGTTTTTCGACCCGCATCTCCCCTTAAGCAGAAAACAGGGTTGGAATTGAAATAGTTGCCAATGGGGAGTGACTATTCGGTGCGCTTGCAGTCACTAATCTTTTAACGCTGGGCCAAATGCCTCTGTATATTGAGAAAAAAAAGAGAGAAGAAAGAGAGGCAAAATTTAACCAAGTGTGCGACAATCGTAGGATAAAGTTTTGAGGAAATACAGGCCATGATCCATTGAGGCACTATCTGATAGTACAACGAGGCATCCACACTATGCTTCATTCACACAGTCACTGCTTGATCTCGCAACGAATATTCAGATTAGCATCTCCTCTCTCGGGATTGTAATGGGAAAGGGAAAAAACACCATGAGTTAATTTCACTTTGTGTTTGTATACTTGCAATTTTCGTGTGAAACAGCCTTGCCCTTTCAGCTGTTTAAAGTAGCTGTCCTCTGCTCACATGGATGTCCTGATTGTTTGCCTATTTTAGAGAAAAATGTCTACGTCTTTTTGGGGTTGTACTGTATCAGGGAGCTCTTACTTAATGCCTAATGCTAGATGGTGCTCGCTGGTTAAGAGGCAGTGCAAACTAACCTCATGTCGATTGATATGAAAAATGCTTTGAAAGTGTCCTTTTTGCATTGCTCCCTCCCTCATTTTTCTCTGTTGTCAGGAATGAAACGAAAATGTCTTTATTGCATAGCCTATGAAACATTGTAGTTCATACCGTTTGTCTCACTTTAAGCACATGTTATTGCCTTTTAGTTTACTAGGTTATGTAGTGTAATTACATGATGTATATGTATACTGAACATTATGTTGTGACTGGTATTGTGCTTAGCTAGCACAGTATAACCTCATTACAATGGATCTGCTTAGAATAGACATTTGGATACTACATTATGGCAACCTCCATATTTGTTTCATTGATTGAACTTGGTTTACTAGGTGTTTAGGTACAATGGACATTTCGATATTAATTGACTAAAATGTGAGGCCAGCAAGGGAGCTGAGACACTTTACGGCGGACTTTTTTTTTGCTATTTGAAAAATTCTTTGAAAGTGTCCTTTCCACATTGCACCCTCCCTCATTTTTCTCTGTTGTCAGCAATGAAACGAAAATGTCTTTATTGCATAGCCTATGAAACATTGTAGTTCATACCGTTTGTCTCACTTTAAGCGCATGTTATTATTGCCTTTTAGTTTCCTAGGCTATGTAGTTATGTAATAACATGATGTATATATATACTGAACATTATGTTGTGACTGGTATTGTGCTTAGCTAGCACAGTATAACCTCGTTACAATGGATCTGCTTAGAATAGACATTTGGATACTACATTATGGCAATCTCCATATTTGTTCCATTGATTGAACTTGGGTTACTGCGTATTTAGGTACAATGGACATTTAGATAATAATTGACTAAAATGTGAGGCCAGCAAGGGAGCTGAGACACCTTTACGGCGAACTTTTTTTTTTTTTTTTTTTTTGCTATGGAAGTCCCAAAATCAATAACTTCTAACTTCAAACATTGCTAGCTTGGTATACTACTTTCGAGACGGGAACATCTCGTCACGGATATCAACGTACCGATTTAAGAACGAAGGCTGCCAACTTTTGGTTCGTTAATAATTGGTTATGCCTAGCTACGGCAACAGAAAATCGGCATGCACTGTGCTTGGTCTTGCGTTACGGGGCGCTGACGCACTAACCCTGGTCGCCGCTGTTATGCTTGGCTGCTGCGAATGTGCAGAATGCTCGTCTGTGGTTTTAAGGAACCAATGGGCCATATAATTCATCGCTTTCAATGAAGCACATTACGACTTCTTCGCTTTCACATGTCTGCTAGTGAAGTGGTCTTGCCCGGAGTGCTCGAAGCAAAGTTAGACCTAGCTACGACTTCGAGCAGAAAGCTCCATTGCGATGTGGGTGGGGGCAGTGCTTCATGTTTCAAAGTACCTCATGCTTGATCGAGAGCTAAAGAGTTCTCCCGTGGTGGTCTTTGTCACTAGGTCCTAAGTGCTCATATCATCGTCGTCGTCATCAGCCTGACTACATCTACTGCAAGGCAAAAACCTCTCCCATGATCCGCCAGTCAACCTGGTCTTGCGGCCCCGCCATGGTCTAGTGGCTAAGGTACTTAGTTGCTAACCAGCTGGTCGCAGAATGAAATCCCGGTTGTGGCAGCTGCATTTTCGATGGAGGCAAAAAGGCTGTAGGCCCATGTGCTCAGATTTGGGTGCACGTTAAAGAACCCCAGGTAGTCGAAATTTCCGGAGCCCTCCACTACGGCGTCTCTCATAATCATATGACGATTTAGGGACGTTAAACCCCACATATCAATCAAATCAACCTTTTGTGCGTTCTGCTGCCACGTTGCACCTGTGAACTTTTTAATCTCGTCGGCCCACTTAACTTTGTCCTTCTCTGGGAATGACTAGCGGTTATCCTGTCTACGCACTACATGCCCGACTCATGTCCATTTACTCTTCTTGATTTCAACTATGATATCCTTAACCCCGGTTTGTTCCCTAATCCACTTTGCTCTCTTCTTATCTCTTAAAAGAGGTTAACCTATCATTTTCTTTTCCATCGCTCGCTGCGTCGTCCTAAATTCAAGCTGAACCCTCTATGTAAGCCTCCAGGTTTCTACTCCGTAGGTAAGTACCGGCAAGATGCAGCTGTTGTATACCTTCCTCTTGAGGGCTCGTGGCAGATTACCATTCGTGATTTGAGAATGCTTGCCGAAAGTGATCCACCCCATCTTTATTCTTCTAGTTATTTCACTCTCATGGTTCGGCTCCATGGTTACTGCCTGTCCTAAGTAGACATATTCCTTAGACTTCCAGCATCTCTTCACCTATGGCAAAGTGCTGTTTTCTGCCAAGACTGTTGCATATTACTTTAGTTTTGTGTATATTAATTTTCAGACCTACTCTTCTGCCTTTCGTGTCCAGTTCAGTAATCATGAGCTGCAATTCGTCCCGTGAGTTACTGATCAAGGCAATGTCATCAGTGAATCACAGGTTACTAAGATACTCTTTATTAACTCTTATTCCTAGCTCTTCCCACTCAAGGGCCCTGAGGGTTCGTCGATACCCCGATTCTGTAGTGCCTGCACTATTGCTGATGTCTCGACAGAGTCAAACACCTTCTCGTAATCTATGAAAGCTATGTATAGGGGTTGGTTGTACTCCGCGCATTTCTCTATTGCCTAATTGATAGTATAAATATGGTCTGTTGTGGAGTAGCCTGTACGAAATCCTGCTAGGTCTTTTGGTTGATTGAACTCTAATGTCGCCTTAATTCTATTGGCTATTATTTTTGTAAATAATTTGTTGAAAACGGACAGTAAGCTGATCGGCCTATAATTTTTTGAGTTTTTGACATCTTTCTTATGTATTAATATGATGTTGGTGTTCTTCCCAGAACTTAGTAC